ATCCCAGCTACTTGGGAGGCTAAGGCAGGAGAATTGCTTGAACCTGGGAAATGGAGCTTGCAGTGAGCTGAGACTGTGCCACTGTACTCTAGGCGACAGAGCAAGACTCCATCTCAAAAAAATAAAAGAAAAATATCCTTGCAAGCCAGGTCTCTCCTCTGCTCCATTCAAGTATCTCCATTTGCCATCATGTTTAGGTTTCAGTCCTTTCACAAACTGAGGATGTTTTCTCTCACAGGCAAGAAGGCAAGAGGAGAACTCTTACTCATTTTTCAACAACACTCTTTCCTATGGAGGGTTTTCTGTGCCAGATGAGACGACTTTTTGAAATTCATAATTCTTTACTGCCAGACCACCCAGATTTCAAATTTCCTGGATTATTTTCAACTTGAGACCTGTTGATTCTTCTCTGTCTTTGGACTTGAGATCCCCAGTACCTGTTTTAAATAACATTAGGTTTTTAACCTTGCTTTTAAGAGAGACAGTACAGGCTGATGGTTGAGAGTATAGACCCTGGATATAGATGACCTGGGTTCAAATCCCAAATCTATAATTTGCTAGGTTTGCCAACTTTGGGCAACTTATCTCTGATTTCATTTCTACCTCTATCAGTAGAAATAAGAGGTACTCCCACTTAGAAGGCTTTTAGTTGCAAAGCACTTAACCAGTAAATATGAGGTAGAATTACTCTCCAGAAAAAGGACATTTGCTTTCTACACACATAATGTCTTTCAAACATCACTTACGGATCCTGTTTTCTCCTTGGTCCTCATCATTCCTGCTATGTTGCTTCTGATGCCTACAGGTGACATTTATTCTACTATGGCCTACTCTTGGTGGGACAATCAATAAGGAAATATATTTCCTATCATGCTGAAGTTTTATATAAGCAATAGTCTTTTGGTTTCTCAGCAATGGCAAAAGAAGTGTCAGGGTAAGTTGCACAACATTCATTTAATATAAGAAAATATTAATAGTAGAATCCACATTTCACAACCCTGAGGCTGGCATTTTGTCCAAATTATTCTGTTCTACAGACGCTTTATCAGTATTTGTTATTTATGAGCAGATACTGTGTGTGGCTATTATATTTCCAGATGGAAATGAGGAACACAGCATCCTATGTCTTACTATTTGTGTAGATGAACAAAATAATTCTGATCAGCAGTCAGAGAAAAGAGTAAAGCTTGAAAGTTTCATAAACTAATTTCTTTCTGTAGTAAATGTCAGTGACTCTGATCTCCTAATAAATCTTCAATTTATGTTCTACTAGAGAACACATGAAACTTGAATGAGAGAATGGAATATTTTTTTCCATTCTGAGGATCAACTCAGGAACGCTTTTCTTTAAATCCATGGATGAATTCACTTGACATCCTCAATGAGTGGCAATATTTTTATCCTCTGATGTTATTCCTTTACATTTGTATTATTCCCAATTATAGAACACAGAAATAAATACTTCTCAATTATCTTAAATGTTGACCCTTCCTAGATACCTGTTATTGGCTGAATTATGTACCCCTACAATTCATGTTTATGCCCTAATTTTCAGTGCCTCAGAATATGGCTGTATTTGAAGTTAGGGCCTTTAAAGAAGTAATTAAGTTAAAACAAGATCTTTAGGAGAAGCCTAAATCCAGTCTGACTGGTGTCTGGTGTCCTCATAAGAAGAGAAAATTTGGATATACAGAGAGACACCAGGGGGCATGTGCAGAGAGAAGCCAGGGAGGAGGCAACAAGAGGGCCGCCATCTTGCAAGCCAAGGAGAAAGATTTCAGAGTTGACACATCCTGCAGGCACCTTGATCTCAGACTTCTCAACTTCAATAATGTGAGAAAATAAATTTCTATTCTTTAAGCCACCCAGTTTGTGGAGTTTTTTTATGGCAGACTTAGAACGCTGATACAACACCTTATTCAGAAAATTGCTACCTCTTCTACCAGGTCCAGTTGGTCAGCCAAGTTCCCTTTCTGTTTATGCCAGAATTGCTCAACATGGACAAATTGCCTAGGCAAAGCCTCCAAATCCAAACAATCTCACAGCAAGATACAAATGGTTATGCATCCCAGATCAAGGAAGTTTTCCGGAGTCTACCTCCCGCAGCCAACAAATCTTAATGAACCAGGTGAAAACCCTGATTGATTTAACCTTCTGACTGTTGGTAGCAATGTAAAATTACCCTACTAACCTAAGCAGACGGTGATTATTTCCCGCTGATCTTTAGCACCATTCTTCCCACTTACGTTTTTACCTATTCATCAAATTTTCAAGCAGGCATTTGAGAAGTCTGCAGTGGACCAAAGGCCTTTTATTCCTGAATTGTACAAAGAATTGTTTAACGGTGTATTTCTTTCCTGGCCTGCTGTAACAGTTACATGAATTGGTTAGCTTCAAACAACAGAAATGTATTCTCTCACAGTTTTGAGACCAGAAATCTGAAAATTCAGGTGCCAGCAAGGTCATGATCCCTTTGAAGGGTCTAGAGGAAAATAAATTCCGTGCCTGTTTTCTAGCATCCATTATTGCTGGTAATCATTGGCATTCCTTGGATTAGAAACACCACTCTAAATTCTGTATCCATCATCATGTGGCACTATCATGTCTCTGTCTCTTTTCCTCTTCTTATGGGAACACCAGTCATACTAGAGTAAAGGTACTCACTGCTCCAGTATAATCTCATCTCAACTTCATTATATTTGCGACAACCCTATTTCCAAGTAAATGCATATTCTGAGGTTCTAGGAAGGATACAAATCTTGGAAGATCACTGTTCAACTCAGGGCAGCATCTGAAAAAGCAGTTATTCCATGTCAAATATTGACATAAGTGACAAGATTTGAAATACATTTTCTTTGCAGAATTTGAACACTTGTGGGCCTTGTTTCTATGACTCTAGGTTGGAAAAATAAAACACAAAAAACTAAACAACAAAGACTGGAAAGAACTCAAGGCAGCACTCATAGCAAAGAAAACAAGAAGAACTTGTTCAGAAAATAATTGTAGAAGGCTTTCTGTAGTTTCCTTCTTTTAAAAAAAAAATCCTTTACAAAATAAAATTATGAAATTTTGCCCTAGCTTATCTTTTCATACTAATAACAAAGGTCAGTTCTGGGTCATAATTTCCCTCTAAGTCTTATGTAAGTAATTAGCAGAGCAAATCTCCATTAAGCTGTAGGTGACTTTTTTCCCCCAAGTATTAGAGGCCTGGAGCAATTAATTCAAATTTTTGGAAACTTAGGACTCGCCCTGTTAACCCATCCTTTTCAAAATGAATTAAACTCAGAGGATACTGGGATTATTTCTTCTTTAAAAATGTTTGAACTAGTGCTAAATGGTGAGTCTCAATACTTACCAAAAACATTTTCCCTAGTCAATGATCACGCTTGAATGCCTTCAGTTTTAAAAACTACCTTCCCTTGAACCAACATCTACCTTAATCAGATGTCAGGATTCATAAGCATGCTCTTAGGAAATGTTTCAGTGGCCCGTTAAAATAATATGAATCTACCTGTAAAGTACTTGCCACAATTTTTCTCAGAACACATATCATAGCTGTCTCCAGTTTCTGTTACCCAATGACCTTTCCCAGTCCAAGCCATTGTTTTCTCCTTGGATTTTCATTGCTTGGTTTCCTTCTTGCTTAGTTCCAAGCTCTCTTCTGTTCTATTAATCCTTTTCTAGCCCATCTCTAATCCATTACTTTGGACAATCTCTATGTTAGCACTGAATCTCTTTTATAGTTATTAACTTAGAACTGAGCTAATCCACCAATATGCACTCCTTAGCAGGGACAAGGTACCGCGGAATTCTGTCTTGCCCCACAGTGAAACACACACTATCTTGCTATTTCTACTCTCTCATTTCTACCACTCCTCAACACTGAAAACAGGCATCTATTCCAACTGCTCAATGGAAACTACTCACCCACTCTGTGTCACCTGATGCTGTTGAAAATGGTCTTCATTAGCCTCACCACTTTTTTGTTTGTTCTCCAAGTTTTATTTTAAGTTCTCGGGTACATGCGCAGATCTTGCAGGATTGTTACATAGGTATACACATTCCATGGTGGTTTGCTGCCTCCATCCCATCAGCTACATTAGGTATTTCTCCTAATGTTATCCCTCCCCAATCTCCCCACCCCCTGCTATCCCTCCGCTAGCCTCCCACCCCACAACAGACCCCAGTGTGTGATGTTCCCCTCCCTGTGTTCATGTGTTCTCATTGTTCAACATCCGCTTATGCTTAAGAACATGTGTTGTTTGGTTTTCTGTTCTTGTGTCAGTTTGCTGAGAATGATGGGTTCCAGACTGATCCACATCCCTGCAAAGGACATGAACTCATCCTTTTCATGGCTGCATAGTATTCCATGGTATATATGTGCCACATTTTTTTATCTAGTCTATCTTTGATGGGCATTTGGGTTGGTTCCAAGTCTTTGCTACTGTAAACAGTGCCACAATGAACATACATGTGCATGTATCTTTATAATAGATCGATTAATAATCCTCTGGCTATATACCCAGTAATAGGATTGCTGGGTCAAATGGTATCTCGCTTCATCCTGGGGATTCAAGGCTGGTTCAACATATGCAAATCTATAAAAGTAATCCATCACATAAACAGGACCAAAGACAAAAACCACATGATTATCTCAATAGATGCAGAGAAGGCCTTCAACAAAATTCAACAGCCCTTTATGCTAAAGACTCTTAATAAACTAGGTATCGATGCAACGTATATCAAAATAATAAAAGCTATTTATGACAAACCCACAGCCATTATCATACTGAATAGGCAAAAACTGGAAGCATTCCCTTTGAGATATGGCACTAGACAAGGATGACCTCTCTCACCATTCCTATTCAACATAGTATTGGAAGTTCTAGCCACAGCAATCAGGCAAGAAAAAGAAATAAAGGGTGTTCAAGTAGGAAAAAAGGAAGTCAAATTATCTCTATTTGCAGAGGACATGATTGTATATTTAGAAGACCCCATCTTCTCAGCCCAAAATCTCCTTAAGATGATGAGCAACTTGAGCAAAGTCTCAGGATACAAAATCAATGCTCAAAAATCATGAGCATTTCTATACACCAATAACAGACAAACAGAGAGCAAATAATGAGCCAACTCCCATTCACGATTGCTAAAAAGAGAGTAAAATACCTAGGAATACAACTACAAAAAATGTGAATGACCTGTTCTCCAAGTTTTTGACATGCTCCTTTGCTAGCTACTCCCTCCTTCTCATGCTCTTAATTAATGGTTCAAGGTATCCATTAATTTGACATATAGTTACTGAGCACCTACTACATATCATGTATTTTGCTGGATACTGTTGACAAGGTAGAGAAAAAGATATACGCTAACCCTTTCTTGTGGAAATTAGACTCTCTAAGACTTTAAATACCTCCTAAATGATTTCCCATGGCTTTAGTTACTTCCTGTAAATTGGTAAAGCCTAGATTAATATATCACTTTGCAGCATGCACCACTGAGAGCTAGACCCACATTTTACCTTCTTGGAAGATCTTATAGTTTAATAGTCTCAAAATTAACATATTTTAAATGTCGATGCCAATAATCCCACTAGTTAATGGTATCATAAACAAAGATACTTGTCCCCTAAACTCTATGCTCATGGACATCTCCACAAATCGATAGCTGTCAATTCCATATTCTAAATAACATTCCAAATCCTCTTCCTTTTAATTCCTACTCCAAGTTTTTACTTCTAAGCCCTTATAATATGCATTTTTGCAGTTGCCTTTTAACTGACCTCCCGTCTCTGGATTCAGTGCCTCCTGGTGACTCCGTATTACCATCACAATAAAGTCTAAACTATAAAAAGGATCTTAAAATATGAAACCAACATACTTCAACTATTAAAAAGGGAAAACATTCAGGTAACTACAATATAAACAAATCACCACCATATAGAGTGCAGAAAAACTACAACCTGTGAGAAAATTTTGTGACACAAAATGGGCAAAAGATTAGTATTCAAAAAACACAAAGAACTTCTACATATGCACCAGGAAAAAAGTGACTCCATAAAAAATGATAAAAAGAATTAAAAATTTCAGAGAAGACCACCAATGACCAATCACATGAAAAGATGTTACATCTTATTTATAATCAGAGAAACACAAAAACAGAGAGACTTCATTCCACACTCATACTATATTAGCCAAAAATATGGCTACTTTATACCAAGCATCATTTGCATAAGAAACAACATAAATCCTCACTGCTGCTGATAGGAGAGTAAACTGATTTAATCACTTAGGAAAATGCTCTCTAGCAAAACTGAACAACTGTGTAACCTTCCCCCATCCAGCTAAGTCATGGTGAATTAGAGCTGCTTTCATCTTTTCCTGGAGACAAAAGGGACATTAGAACATGGCCATACACCCCAATGGGCAGAAGATGTATCTTTAGTTTATATGGGGGAGCCAGCACCCTCCTTACTCAAAAATATTTCTCAAAGGAACATTAGAAGGTTATTATATACTCCATAATTAGTTATACACCCTAAGCTCTTTCACGTAAAGAAGAAGATACTGCATAGAAGCATTGCTTATGCATATCAAAACAACCATCATGCCCATCAACTGTGAGATTATAAAACTGAGGAAATTATGAAAGTTATAAATTATCTTTACAAGAGAATTCTGCTCCTAATATATCCATGCAAAGAAATGTCAAAATACATACTATTTATCAATTAAATTAAGTCATACATAAGTCAAACACAGAAAGACTCATGATCTCACTTATGTGTGGACACTTGAAAAGTCCAACTGATCAAAGTAGAGAGTAGAATGGTAGTTACCAGAGGCTTGGGGATAGGGAAAGGAAAGGTATAGGGAGCTGCTAATCAAAGGGTATAAAGTTTCAGACAGAAAAAATAGGTTTTGATATCTATTGCACAGCAGGGTGACTATAAACAATAGTAATGTATAATTAAAAGTAACTAAGAGCAAATTTCAAATTTCTCACCATAAAAAAATGATAGGTAACTGAGGTGATAATATGTAAGTCAGCTTGATTTAATCATTCCACATTGTATACATACAGTACCCCATAAATGTTTACAATTACAATTTGTCAATCAAAAATAATAAATAAAGCAAGTTACGCAAGACTACACATAAAATGATTCCATTTACAGAAGTTCAAAAACACGCAAAAGCAACACTGTAGTTTAGTGGTACATACTAGAAAGATAGAAATTATAGAGAAAAGGAAATGATTAACACATTCTAGCTAATGCTGGAAGAAAGGGAGGGAGATGTAATCAGGAAAAGCAAATTGGGAATTTCTAGGGTGTGGCAATGTTCATTCCATAATGATTTAAATCAGGGTGTCCAATTTTTTGGCTTCCCTGGGCCATGTGGAAGTAGAACTGTCTTAAGCCACACATAAATCACACTAACACTAATGACAGCTGATAAGCTAAAAAAAAAAAAAATCGAAAAAAATTTAATAAGGTTTTAACTAAGTTTATGAATTTGTGTTGGGCCACATGCAGACCTTGGGCCACAGGTTGGACAAACTCGATTTGAACTGTATGCACACGATTCCATTTCATTTTATACAATTGCTGTATTTTTAATGGAAAAAATAGATTACCAGCCTCTGTTCTCTACATATCCTTTCACCCTAAGATCCACAGATATGACCTGCTTTCCAGTAGTACAACACACAAACACACACACCCTTTCACCCATAGTTTAATTGCACTATATGATTTGTCATTGTCCAAAAACCAATACATTTACTTTCAATCTGCTCGGATTTTCTATTTGTTACTCCATTTTCTTAGGATGCCCCATCCTTTCCATTTGTTGTTAGGAAGATTTGGTTTAAATGCATTATCTCAGTAAAACTTTTTCCAGTCCCTGCAGACAGGAACATATTTGATGTATTTTGTTATAATTTCAGCTTTTATTTTGGATTCAGGGAGTACATGTGCAAGACACTGAGGTTTGAGGTATGAATAATCTCACCTTCCAGGTAGTGAGCAAAGTACCCAACACATCATTTCCTCTTTTGACTTCCTATGGTACTGTTTGGTTCTCTTCTTACTGCTTTCCTTACATCATGTTCAAGTTATTTATCTGATTTGTTCCTTTGTCCCCATCCTCACTCCATGAGCACAGAGACATCAACTCTTACCTCTATTTTTTAAATTCCTACTTCAACTCTAGCAAGTATTAAGGGCTTAGCAAATTATTTAATGCTAAAGACAAAGAATAAGGATTATTGCAAAATTTGAAACATGATATTATCAAGCTATCTGTTGCATTTGAATCAAAAATCACCATTTACAAAGAAAAACTTATAAAATTCAGAAGCAGCCTACCTCAGACAATAAAAAGTATACAAAAATCAAATAATTGCAGAGACCACAGTTCTCTGACCACAAAAAAAAAAAAAAAAAAAGTGAGGGAAGTTAAAGATACATACTCATAATCTTACAAGACAGAAAACTTGAAAAGGTCAGATATTTGGTACATTTAAGTAGACAATTATATAACTCTTTAAATGATGGCTCAAAACATACTCTTAAAGATAACAAACTCTAGAACTTTTTTTATAAAGACTGGGCCTTGAATTTTTGAATGTTAGAGATAGCCCCCCCTCCCCCAAAAAAACATAAGATAATGTGTTCCTAACACATATAGCAATATTAAGATCTAATGTTTACAAAGGATCTGAATCCTCATCTGCAGCAGAAACCATAATTTGCCCAAGAAGAAAAATTCAAGTGTTTGCAAATCTTAAGAAAAGGCATTCTAGTGGGAATTCTATCCACCTTCAGTGGCCCAATTAATGTCTAATTCATCACAAAAGGTCAATAAATTTCATTACATAGAAAATTGAGTAACTTTCTCCACAACACAACTTAAAAGTAGGAAACTTTGTGGTTTGCTTCCACATTGTGATAGTTCTCCAGCTCCTCATAAACTACAACATGATTTTTTAATATTAAAAATTAAAATGACTTTGTTTCAAGTGACTTAGCAACCTATTTTGAAAACCTGAAGATTTGCTATAGCAGAGGACGTTCATTTTAATGCACAATATAAAAACAATTAGAAACCAGAAATGTTTCAAATCTTTTTGTAATAACATTTTTATTGTGGTAGAACATATTTGATGTATTTTGTTATAATTTCAGCTTTTATTTTGGATTCAGGGAGTACATGTGCAAGACACTGAGGTTTGAGGTATGAATAATCTCACCTTCCAGGTAGTGAGCAAAGTACCCAACACATCATTTTTTAGCCCATGCCCTCCTCCTTCCCGCTGCTGTCCAGTAGTCCCTGCTGTCTATTGCTTCTATCTTTATATCCATTTTCCAATGTTTAGCTTTTACTTATCAGCGAGAACAATGCAGTACTTTTCTGTTCCTGCATTAATTTACTTGGTATAATGCCCTCCAGCTGTATCCATGTGACTGCAAAGAACATTAATTCATTCTTTATGATTGCATACTATTCCACAGTGTACCACATTTTCTTTATCCAATCCAACACTGACTGGCACCTAGATTGACTCCGTATCTTTGCTATTGTGAATAGTGCCACAGTGAAGGTAAGAGTGCGTCTTCTTTGTGGAATGATTTGTTTTCCTTTTGGTATGTACCCAGTAGTTGAATTGCTAGGTCCAATGGTAGTTTTAAGTTCTTTCCAAAATTTCCAAAGTGCTTTCCACAGTGGCTGAACTAATTTGCATTCTCACCAAAAGTGGATAAACCTTTCCTTTTCTCCACAGCTTCACCAACATCTGTTATTTTTTGACTTTTTAATAATAGCCATCCTGATTGGTATGAGATGGTATCTCATTGTGATTTTAATTTGCATTTCTTGGATAGTTAGTGATGATGGGCATTTTTTCATGTTTTTTGGCAACTGCATGTCTTCTTTTGAGAAGTGTTTGTTCATATCCTTTGCCCACTTTTTAATGGGGCTGTTTGTTTTTGCTAGTTGATTTAACTTCCTTATAGATTCTACATATCAAACCTTTGTTGGATGCATAGTTTGCTAATATTTATCTCCCATTCTGTAGGCTGCCTGTTTGCTCTGTTAATGGTTTCTTTGACTGTACAGAAGTTCTTTAGTCAGGTTCCATTTGTCAACTTTAATTGCTTTTGAGAAGTTAGTCACAAATTCTTTGCCAAAGGCTGATGTT